GCCACAGCCCCAATGCTTTCCAGCCCCTCTAGGCAGTTGCTCCTCTTAGGAAGGCCCTTTGGCTCAGAGCTCCAAAAGGATGCTGGCCAAGCTGAACCCCACAAGATGATGGTCACATTTTATAAGTGTGCAATGAAGGATGACACTGGGATCCCCCACACCCTCAGATTTATATACAATAGCTTTAGGAGAAGCAGAGGTGGGTAAATCTCCTGGGCATATATATCTCATTCCTTCCCTGACTTCTATGAGTTCATAAGCATCAATGTTTATCAAGATCTGAAACACCTCCGATAGATCTGTTTGCCCAAGAAAAGTGTCTGCTAGTGTGAGTGAAGCATACTGCAGCTGCCACACCCACTCCTTCCAGGAGTCAAGCTGACCGAGTTCACTAGGCCACACCTTCCCTACCAAAGCAAGACGTAAACTCTACCAAGGCCCACCAGTTAGTTACTTCTGTCCTCAAATACATATCACCCTTGATACTTTCTGCCACATGTACTCCTCATTCAGGGTATGGGCAAATGAACAAAGTACAGAGAGTTGACGGGGGCATGAACTTACTATGCATCAGATGCTCTGCAGTAACTGTCCATGTGTCTACTGTAAATTAGCTCTATTTTCATTAGGGGCTAAGACATAATTTAGCAGGCCCAGACAGACAGCTGCTGCATATCAGGTGCTCTGTACTAAGTCCTCCACCCCATTAGATCACTGTAATTTGTTCAGACCCTTGGCTAGTTCTAGGCTCACCCCTCCCCAGAGTTGCCAACCATCCATAAATTTAGGCCTGTTCTTTATGGTCTGTCCATAATAACCACATGTCCATGAAGTTGGTAAGAAAAACCTCAGATGTCCATAAAAGCACTAAGCAATCAGAGCTTGAATGAAGATTCCTCATCAGAGGCAAGTGTTGAAGAGCAAAACGCCTGATGTCTGAGCTGGAGTGCAGCATGCTGCAGGAAGCCTCCAGCACTTCATGGCCCCTCACCACCCACCTTCCCCAGCTACATGCTTCTGCTATGACCCTGCCTGTAACACTACTGCAGGAAGGCAGAGCATAGTCCTTCTTTGGGTGTCCACAATAGGATGGGAAGGCATGGCCAGCAGAAATAAGGCTGGGGGATTGGTTGAGGAAGGGTTGGGGGACAGGGTATAATCAGGGGCATCAGGGTGTGGGGATAAAGCAAGAGGTCCCTGTGGTGGGGACAGCATGGTGTAAAACTAGCTGCAGGTCAAGCAGGGTTGCCAAACCAAGAATTTTTTTTTTTTTAATATACCTACAAACATTTTACTGACAACCATACTTTTTCACTATGGTTGGAGTTAAACCCTAAATTTGACCCTAAATATGGTTGGAGTTAAACCCTTGTCCAGGGCTTGGCAGAAGGGTTATATTATGTAAAGCATAAAAAGTTTAAAAAATAAGTTTTGGGTTGGCAACACTACCACTCTTCCAGAAAGGAGTCTCTTCTGGGATGTCCCCCAGGTAATATCTGGAACCCCTTATTGCTTTCAAGGCTCTGCAGCTGCTGCAAACCTGGGCATGCAGAAGGTCCCTAGACTCCCAGCTCCTATTCTACATATAGGCCACAATGTTCTTCCCTTTGCTTAAAGGAGACGTGTTTGTTACTCTGTCCTTCTTTCCAACTCTGTACTTCCCTTTCTGGTGCTGCATAAGTATCTGTTGGCCCTGCCAATCTGCTCCTTTCCTCCCTTTCTGGAGTAGGACCAATGGCCCCCTCAGCGTTCTCCCATGGACAGGATTTGCACTCACCCTGGCCTACACCAGGTTTTCCCAAATCCTACTGATTGTAATTTTAGGGGTTTCCAAATATATAAACTCACTAAGCTGAACATCCCACAAGGAAAGTAGTGCTCAACTGTTTGGCCCCGTAGGCTAGATAAGTGGTGCAGGGATGGATTGGATTGTGCCCCTCATGGAGCACACCCACACAGTGGCAGCCCCCAAGCTGCCACTGCATGCCAGGATCAGGCCCTGCAGTCCCCCACTGATGAGACTGAGAGCCCTGCATGGTGAGATTGTGTCCTGGGATGCTGCACTGCCCCCGCATGCAGGGATAAGGCCCTGTGCATTGGGAACAAGTCCCAGTGCCCTGTTCTGCCTCCACCCAGTCCTGGCCCTGCCCTGCACACCAAAATTTAGCACACAGGGCCATACTATCCAGCCCACAGAGCTCCCCAGGGGTCTGGAAATTTAGCAGCAGGGGAGTAGTGCCACTGTTCCCCACTGCAAGGAGCCTGCAGGCGGGGCTCCCACTGTAAGGAGCCTGCAGGCAGGGTGATATGGCACAAGGGGTCAGTTCTGGTCCACTGGCTGGGAGTTGAGTACGCTGCACTAGAGTATTATGCAATTAATGTTGCTCCATGTGCCCAGGCTGAAAGGTAAAGCGCCCTGTTTGAAACAAACCATTAATGTAATTTCAGCACATTCAAACACAAAGAAACTTGATATGGAGGACATGTGGTAACAGAATGGTTACTTTAGAAGAGTGATTCTCAACCAGGTTGCTGCTTTCAAAGGGTGCCACAAGGTGCAACAAAATAAGCAAGTGGGAGAAGATAAGGGCAGACCCAGGCTCCTACCTGCCTGGCTACTACCCTGCTTCCAATGCTCAGGCCTTCTGCAATTAGGTAAGCGCTGTTAAAAAACTAATTTATTTATTAATGGCATGCTGCTCAATTCACAAGTTATGGAGATGTCTCTCAAGTCAAATGATGAGTGCCTCAAGTCTAAAAAGTTTGAGAAGCACTGCTTTAGAAGAATAAACTCAGAACAAGGCTTTCAAAAGGCACTCAGCACAATGGTCCCAAGGCACTATTACTAGAAAAAGATGATAAAAATTAATTCTTTCAAGCATAACTGCTTGGCAGCACAGGAGATCAATGAGTGCAGTGTAAATAGGACATCCACTGCACCCAGAGCACACTGTGCCAAGCAGATTTGCAACTACTGGGAGGAAACTATTGTGTCCACTTATTTTGCTTATACCTCCAGCTCCTCTACTACAAACAGTGGCAAAACTAGTGTTCTCTACAGCAGAATTTTCAGGACCCCAAAAAGGTCACATTGCCAGGGCTGGCTCACTCATACATGTACTCCTCCAAGCCCTTCAATACAGAACACAGGGATGCCATCTAAGGCACAACTCAACCCATGGAAAATTCTCTCTGGTCTGGAAGAATATAGTCATCAATGAGTCATTCAGTTCTGGCTGCAGTCTCTACAGGTTACTGTCAGACTACTTCCTGGATAACTGTGCAAAGTCATCATTTCATTTTTAAAGCATGTTCTGTCAACCTGCACACATGCACTCACCCACAATCACAGAACAAGTCATGAACATCAGTACAGTCCAAGTGCTGTAAACCCAGTCAATGGCACATACAACACTATGCCATCCAGTCTATAAGTGACTGGATCCAGTTGTCTTCTGAGAAAAAACTTAGGGCTTCTCTACAAGAAGGGTTATATGCCAATTACACAGGAAAAGCACAGCTTGCCTTGGGATAAAACAACTGAGTTCCAGGACAGCCTGAAGAAATAGCATCAATGAGTCATTTACAGTTCTGGCTGCAGTCTCCACAAGTCACCATGAGACTATTTCCTGGATAACCATGCAAAGTCATCATTTCATTTTCAGACATTTTGTCAACATGCACGTGTGCATGCATGCACACACGCACAAGCACAGAACAAGTCATGAACATTAGCACAGTCCAAGTGCTGTAAACCCAGTCAATAATATTTACTATTATACTATACAGCCATTTACTATTATACTATTACTGTTATAATGGATACATGGCAACATCTAAGTACAGCATAACTTATACCATTAGGGGCACAGAGGTCAACAACGTACCTGCGCTACAGATGAACCAATAAGTAAAATGAGAATTTGCATCATCTAGGTCACATTTTTTGCAGGTCACTTGTTACAGAATGTATCCAACATGCTCTGGCTAAACCAAGAGGAATCGAGCAAAAGCTTTGCTTTCAATGCACCCCACTTCAAGAATTTCAAAGCCTAGTGCTTAATATTATGCTAACACTGTATCATATACTTTTAAAACTTAAAAGATATCCTGTCAGGTAAGAAAAGGGGTTTACTGCATCACTCTGAAGGAAGTCTCCCTCTTCTCCCCCCCACCTTTTTTTACACTAAACCTTTTACCTAATCTTGAACAAAATCTTGAACAAACGTTCAATATTCACCCAATGTATCTACAGCAGGGGTCAGCAACCTTTTCAGGCTGCCCGCCAGATTGACCCAGTTCAGGTCAGAGGTGGGCCAGCTCAAAAGGCATTCACTAGGACCCAGCCACTGCCACCACTGCTTTTTCTACCAGCTGCACAGGGAAAGCACCTGTGACAGGGCTTTCCCTGCCCACTTCCCCTGCCCCCACAGTGGCACAGGAAGTGTCAAAGTCCACCCCCCCACCAGTGAAGTGCCAGGTACAGACACCCTCCACTCCCCATAATGCCTCAGGTAAAAGCAGTGGCGCTGGGCACTTTTGTGCAGCCGCTGAGAAAGGTGGCAGTCCTAGCACTCACCCTTCACATGCCCACCTGCATCTGACCCAAACTGGTTCAGTTCAGCTCCTGACACCTCACAACCATGGGTCAGATCAAATGGCTCCATGAGGGGGCCATAGGTTGCCAATGCCTAATCTACAGGATTGTTGTCTGGACTGGAAAAAAAGAAGATATTAACCAGCACAGCGTTATTGTCCAAGCTGAAATATTAAAGCATAAGAACACACTGTTATGAATGTTAGGGTATTAGTAACTAAGAGTTCAGTAACACAGGCATGGACCACAGTTTAAATGCATAAGCTCCTCTTTCACTATCTGGAGCACTGGGAGATGATGGAGTTGAAACTACTGGAGCAAGAGTAA